AGGTGGCAATTGTGAAGCAAGGCACTATGTGCAAGGCAGCTGGCTGACCAGGTGGTCCCACATTCCCACGCAGATAAAGCAGGCAAAATTGGGGAGCGAGACATACCGTGCAACCCAGGATCCCGGCACCAGGAAATAGAGCCTCAGGGCACTGACTGAAAACACCTGTCGGGGTTGAGGGGCAGGGAGAGACTCCCAGGCTCACAGGAGGGTTCGTTGGAGACCCATGGGGTCCTAGAACGTGCACAAGCCCACCCACATGGGAATCAGCACCAGAAGGGCCCAGTTTGCTTGGGGGAAGCAGCAGAAGGGACTGAAGCCTTACAGACAGCAGAGCAAGCACCATTGTTCCCTCTCAGACCCTGCTCCCACATACAGCGTCACAACCCAGCAACTGGGTTGCCCCACTCTGGTGAACACCTAAGGGTCCGGCCCTCATATGTAACAAGTGCGACAGGAAAAAAAAAATGGCCCAAACAGAAGAACAGATCAAAGCTCCACATCAATACAACTAAGTGACTAAGAGATAGACAACCTATCAGAAGCACAGTTCAAAGCACTGGTATCAGGATGCTCACAGAATTGGTTGAATTTGGTCACAAATCAGATGAAAAAATGAAGGCTACACTAAGTGAAATGAAGAAAAATGCACAGGGAACCAATAGTGATGGGAAGAAAACTGGGACTGAAATCAATGGAGTGGGCCAGAAGGAAGAAACAACCAAACAGAAAAGAAGGAAGGAATAAAAATTCAAAAAAATGAGGAGAGGCTTAGGAACCTCCAGGACATCTTTAAACGTTCCAACATCCAAATTATAGGGGTATCAGAAGGGGAAGAAGAAGAGCAACAAGTGGAAAAGTTATCTGAACAAATAATAAAGGAGGACTTCCCCAATCTGGCAAAGGAAATAGCCTTCCAGGAAGTCCAGGAAGCTCAGAGGGTCCCAAAGAAGTTGGACCCAAGAAGGAACACACCAAGGCACATCATAATTACATTAGTCAAGATAAAAATGAAGGAGAGAATCCTAGAAGCAGCAAGAGATAGGAGACAGTAACCTACAAAGGAGTTCCCAGCAGACTGTCAGCTGATTTCTCAAAAGAGACCTTGCAGGCAAGAAGGGGCTGGAAAGAAGTATTCCAAGTCTTAAAAGGCAAGGACCTGCACCCAAGATTGCTCTATCCAGCAAAGCTCTCATTTAGAATGGAAGGGCAGATAAAGTGCTTCCCAGATAAGGCCAAGTTAAAAGAGTTCATCATCACCAGGCCCTAATTTTATGAAATGTTAAAGGGATTTATCTAAGAAAAAGAAGATAAAAAACATGTATAATAAAATGACAGCAAACTCACAATAATTAACAACTACACCTACAACAAAAGCAAAAACAAAAAGTAAGCAAACAACTAGAACAGGAACAGAACCACAGAAATGGAGATCACATGGAGAGTTAGCAACAGGAGAGTGGGAGGAGGAGAGAGGGGAAAAGGTACAGAGAATAAATAGCATAGATGGTAGGTAGAAAATAGACAGGGGGAGGGCAAGAATAGTATGGGAAATGTAGAAGCTAAAGAACTTATGACACATGGACATGAACTAAAGGGGGGAATGTGGATGGGAGAGGGTGGAGGGGAATGAAGGGGGGAATGAGACAAGTGTAATAGCATAATCAATAAAATATATTTTTTAAAAAACCAAAAACAAATAAACAAGAACAAACTCATTGTTACAGAGAACCAATTGGTGGTTGCTGAGGGAAAGGAGGTTGGGAGGTAAATGAAAAGTGGAAAGGGGTCAACTGTATGGTGATGATACTAACTAGACTTTTGGCAGTGGCCACTTGTAGTGTCTACAGATGTCAAAATATAAAGTGTGCACCTGGAACTTACAAAATAGAAAAAAAGATTTAAATAGCAAAACAAAGAACATTTCAAATGAGAAAAGAACATGTATTAAGACATGTAATTGAGAATAAAGCTATGTACTCAGATACAGTCTAAGAGACATGCTTGACTAAAGCAAAAGAAAATGCTTGGTAGCATGAGGCCAGACTGTGGAAAATCTTTTAAATCCTAGAGAGAATGAGAAATAAGGTAGGAACAATAATGTAGGAATAATTCAATGAGAAAATTATTTAGAGTCTGGGCAAGGTAATTCATGTACCAAAAAATTCAACTCTATCCACTAAATAACATCTGAATATAAATCTAGATATACATCAAGAGATTAATGTAATTAATTATACAATTTTATAATATACATTATATAATTAGATAAATTAAAAACAAGACATTCACTTGTTAAGCCTATTTAGTAGAGTACATAAAAGCACAGTAAAATTTCGGCCCCCCCCCCCCCGCCGCAAAAATAGCTTTTTATTGGACTTCCAGCCAAGATGGAGGCATAGGTAGATAGACTTTGCCTCCTCACACAACCAAAAGAAGGACAACAAATATTTTAAAAGCAAAAAGAACTGCCACAAAATCAAACTGTATGAAAGTCTGACAACCAAGGAGTTAAAGAAGACACATTCATCCAGACTGGTAGGAGGGTAAGCATTGAGCAGCCGGGGCAAAGAGGACATGCAATAAGGTGGCAGCTGGAGGACCGAGGAGGCGAGGTGGTGGCTGGCGGACCCAGCAGTCCCACATGCTGTGTGCAGATAAACCAGGAAGCAAGAAAGACTGCACAGACCAGGGTTCCAGCGCCAGAAAAAAAGGCCTTAAAACCTCTACCTGGAAAAACCTATAGGGGTTGCAGTGGCAGGAGAAACTCCCAGCCTTACAGGAGAGTTCTTTGGAGAGACCCACAGGCTCCTAGAATGTACACAAACCCTCTCACTTGGGAATCAGCACCAGGAGGGCCCAACTTGCTTCTGGTTAGCAGAGGAAGTGACTGAAAGCCTGTGGAGAGCCAAGCAAGTGGCATTGTTCTCTCTCTGACCCCTCCCCCCATACAGCACCACAACACAGCAATTGGAGTTGCCCTGCCCTGGCAATGCCCTGCCCTGCCCTGCCCAGGGCAATCGGCGTTGCCCTACCCTGGTGAATACCCCTTACAATGTAATAGGCCCTATCAAGACAAAAAAATATGGCCCAAATGAAAGAACAGATCAAGGTTCCAAAAACAGAACTAAGTGATGAAGAGATAGTCAAAATATCAGATGCACAGTTCAAAACACTGGTAATCAGGGTGCTCACAGAAATGGTTGAGTACGGTCCCAAAACAGAGGAAGAAGTGAAGGATATGAAAAATGAAATAAAGAATAATATACAGGAAACCAACAGTGAAGGGAAGGAAACTGGGACTGAAATCAATGATTTGGACCAGAAGGAAGAAAGAAACATTCAACTATAATAGAATGAAGAAAGATTTCAAAAAATTGAGGAGAGGCTTAGAAACCTCCAGGACATCTTTAAACATTACAACATCCGAATCATAGGGGTGCCAGAAGGAGAATAGGAAGAGCAAGAAATTGAAAACTTATTTGAAAAAATAATGAAGGAGAACTTCCCTAATCTGGCAAAGGAAATAGACTTCCAGGAAATCCAGGAAGCTCAGAGGATCCCAAAGTAGTTGGACCCAAGGAAGCACACACCAAGGCACATCATAATTACATTAGCCAAGATTAAAGATGAGGAGAGAATCTTAAATGCAGCAAGAGAAAAGGAGACAGTAACCTACAAAGGAGTTCCCATCAGACTGTGAGCTGATTTCTCAAAAGAGACCTTACAGGCAAGAAGGGGCTGGAAGGAAGTATTTGAAGTCATGAAAGGCAAGGACCTACATCCAAGATTGCACTATCCAGCAAAGCTCTCATTTAGAATGGAAGGCCAGATAAAGTGCTTCTCAGATAAGGTCAAGTTAAAGGAGTTCATCATCACCAAGCCCTTATTATATGAAGTGTTAAAAGGACATACCTAAGAAAAAGAAGATCAAAACTATGAACAGTAAAATGATGACAAACTCACAACTATCAACAACTGAACCTAAAAAAACAAAAACAGAAACAAACTAAGCAAACAACTAGAATGGGAACAAAATCACAGAAATGGAGATCACATGTAGGGTTATCATCAGTGAGGGGGAGGAGAGAGATTGGGGGGAAAGGTACAAGGAATAAGAAGCATAAATGGTAGGTACAAAATAGACAGAGGGAGGTTAAGAATAATGTAGGAAATGTAGAGGCCAAATAACTTATATGTACGCTACAACCCAAGGATATGAACTGAGGTGGGGGAAATGCTGGTGGGAGGGGGATGTACAAAATGAAAGGGAATAAAGGGGAAAAAAATGGGACAATTGTACTAGTATAATCAATAAAATATATTTTAAAAAGGAAAAAATAGCTATTTATTGTGCGATTTTTATCCACATGTATAATTTCAATCAATTATTGTGAGGAAAAAACAATTCTTTTTTTACTTTCTAGTCCTCACCTGAGGACATGTTATTGGTTTTAGAGAGAGGGGAAAGGAGGGAGAAAGAGTGGGAGAGAAATATGGATGTGGGAGAGAAACATCAATCAGCTGCATCTTGTACGCGCCCTGACTAGGGACTGGACCCATGATCCAGGCATGCTCTGACCATGAATCGAACCTGCAACATTTTGGTTCACGGGACAATGCTCCAACCAAGTAAGCCACACTACTTAGGCCTAAAAAATAATTTTTAAAATGCTCAAATAGCTTGCCCAAGTCAAACAACCAATGACAAACAGCAGAATCAAAACTTAAGCCCAGGTCTGTTGAAAGTCAAAATCCTCCTACCACTTTCTCAAAAGTAGGTATTTATGTAAGATTTTTATACCCTAAAAAAGCCTTTGATAGAGGGTGGGTCTGAAAGTGATGGAACAAATGCAAAGCAGGTGTGGCCAGCTTGAAGACACTTTTTTTTTTTCCAGAAAACGTCTAAGGAACTGTGGAAATCCTTAGAACAGGCTCAGAAACTACCTAAGGGAAATGTCTGCTCTCAACAAAGCTCTACAAGGCTGTGTAAAGCTTACCTCAGTATACGACTTCTTGGTTATGTGAACATTCTTGGCTCTATAGGACTGGCGCCTTCTTTTATAATCCCTCACTTCTGCCAGAATTTCAAGGTAAGATTTTGGACTTTTTCGACTATTATCTAATAAAAGAATAAAATAAAGTAATTATATCCTTAGAAACTTTTAAATTGTTATAAATTATCAGGAAGAAACACCACAATCACATTTCAACATGTTTCAATGTAGGTCACCAAAGTATTCTAAAAATTGCACATGATGTAAGTGAGCTAAGTTTTACACCATTCCTTTTCTGAAGCCATTAAACACAAGAATGTTTATGTACATAGATTAAAGAAAGCAACAGCACAGTGGTATGTAAGCTTCTTACAGGAGGAAGCTATGCTTAATGTAAAAATCAGAGCAAAATTTCATGTACTGAATAAACATTTTTTCATGTAAACATCAAACAATACAAAACCATCCTATTCATACTCAAAGTAGCCTGAAAAAATCATCTTAATAATACTGAAAGAATGGAGTGACAGTTAAGAAATATAAAACCATGATATTCATCTCAAACCTTGATTGACTTTTGCAGCCAAGTCTACAAAGAGATCACTGTCATTTTCGATAATTTGAGAATCAGAGCGCTGCTTCTTTGTCTCCTCAATTACAAAATCATAGAGGGCAAGACGATCAGCTTGGGTCAGATCACAAACAAATCGTTTGTGATTCAGAGGAACTTCAACAGGTAGTGAAGAATAAATCCCTAAAGTAAAAATAAAACCACAAGAATAAACAATACATGAAGCAATGTAGACTTAAAATCTACTACTAATCTTTAAACATGCACTATAATAATGCAGTGTTAACACGATTTTTTTTCACAGTAATCCCTAAATTACAAAATATCAATCTGTGTGATAAATGAAAAACAATGACTCTATTCTGAATGCTATATCCACATAAAGGATATTGTGGATGAGTGCTATTCTCCCCAACAAAGTTAAGACAGATCTCATGAAGGCAGGCAGTAAAACAATGTGCTCACAAGGAAACTTTTTGGGTAACAATTTTTAAAAGGCTGGCCATATTATAAAAGTACATATTAACTTCATTTCTACTTATATGTTTTTTTTTCCCATAAAAGCTGGGGGAAAAATATTAATAGGTAACAAACTTTATAGCTCCTTTGAAACTAAATTATGGAAATATGAAAAATATATTTAAAAACATTTTTACATGAGACATCAAGCTGGCTGTTCCATATTCAAAATATATCCCACTTGGGCAATGACTCAGAGCTAGGGACCAAAAAACCAGTTAGGCAGCAGAAATCCCACACCTCCTCAGACCAGAGAAAGACAGATTAAATTGAGAGTAAACTTGTTTTGATTTTCCGAAGAAGAAGCATATTGGCTTAACTAATAAGTTAACTGAAAAAAATTAACAGCAGTACCCCACAAAGTTACAGAACTTTCTAAAATCTGCTCATTAATGAAAAAAAGTATATACAATACCTTGATATGATGTATTAAACATTGAAGAAAATTTTTGAGATTCAAATTTTCTCAAAGAAATAAAAAAATTATTGTAACTGTAAATAAAGCAATTTAAAATGATAGTCCCAGAACTTGGTATTCACTAATGCAAAGAACATGAGCTACCAAATAAATCCTTTTAATATTTGCTAGGTTACCCTACAGTAATAACTGGCTCATAGAACAATGTAATATCAGTAGCTCTTCCCAGATACTTATATTTGGTAAAGTTTAACCTAGTTGGCTTCCTAAGATACAAGAAAAAAATCAAATAAAAGCATACTATGAACTAAGCATTACGACACACAAAGATTACATTTGTCTACAAATTAAGAGGATAGCTTCACTGAATCTGAGTCTGTGGTTTAACAGCTATAAAGATAACAACACAAGGACATTTGTACTTGTCAAAGAATTTTTAATTTGGGGAAGAAGGATTCCCTTCCAAGTCAATTAATTTCATTCTACGTCTACTAGGAAAAGCCCTTTTGTGCATCCATATATTAAAACATTTCATTTCATTATATAAAAATAAGTTAGCTTTAATAAACCTAACCCTTTGAATACAAGTTATAAGTTTGGGAGAAAAATGAGAAAAGATTAGAAAACATTGATGTACAGTCATGCGCCACTTAATGATGGGGACAGGTTCTGAGAAATGCCTCATTAGGCAATTTCATCATTGTAAGACTATCATAAGAATGTACTTACACAAACCTAGAAGGTATAGCCTACTAGGCTATGTGATATATCCTATTGCTCCTAGGCTATAGGTCTGTACAGCATGTTATTATTGTGCTGAATACTGCAGGCAATTATAACTCAATGGTATTTGTGTATCTAAACATAGCTGAGCCTAAAAAAAGGTAGAGTGAAAATACTGTATAAAAGATAAAGTGTATGTGTGGCTTGGGGAGGCAGGGGGTGGGCTGTGGAGGGAGGCACCATGGGAGAGAAAGTAGACACCAGGAGGAGGGAGGAAAAGGGAGAAATAGAAGAAAGAGAAGGGGAGAGAAAGGGATAGCAGTAGAGATTTAAAGAGACACAGATAAATCTTGAGATGAGAATAAAAGGGGGATGAGAGAGGAGGGAAGAGAGAGAGAGAGAGAGACAGGGGCGGGAGGGGGGTTGAAATGGGACTAGAAAGAAAGACAGATAAAAGAGAAAGGGAACAAAGGGAGCTGAGTTTATGTGCTGGAGTGTGTTGCAGGAATGGGTATGAGGGGGACCAGGGAGCTCCTGGGCTCCCCTCACTCCTTCAATAACTGCAGACCCCAGACAGGGGCAGGGTGCAGGTCAGGTAGACAACATACTGAACTTCCCTGTCTATTTAAACCATCCAGAGCTAGCAGTAAATTCAACATCCTGGTCGGGTCCAGCCTTTTCTTTCAACATCGCAAACAAACCTTAACTTAAAATCGATTATAATCTTATAGACCACCGTCGTATATGCAGTTAGTTGTACACCAAAATGTCATTATGCAGTGCATGACTGTATTATAAACAAGCTCCACTATTATTTTCAAACAAAGAAATATAATTTCCTCCTTGAAATATACTGGAGTTGTCACTATTCATCTTAAATTTCTGTATGGTGAAGATTGATACTTAAATTCCTTAAAATTCAACTAAAATTCCAAATCAAGACTGTAATATTTTGACAGTGAATTAAAGTTTAGAAATTTGAATGAAACTTTTAAAAGGATATCATTTGCAAAAAGGATACTGCATATCTTTAAATAAGGAGTACATTCAGGTTCCTAATTCCTCTTTATACTCACCCCAATTACTGAAAAAGAAAAAGTACAGGAAAAGTTAAACAACAAACTGCATTTGAATCGTTCAGAGCACAGATATTTCTGACCAAAAAAATGGGTAAACACACTTAAATAAGCTTACATTTCCATAAAGTGCCAATTTTCAAACACAAGTTTCTATGATTTAGGGGTACATCTCAATGTGCTATAATCATACAAATTCTGTGACCTTCTACCTAATTTTTTTGGACAGCAGTTTTAAAAAAAATTGTGGTAAAATACACATAACAGAAAATGTACCATTTTAACCATTTTCACGTGTACAGGTCATTGGCACTGGTACCTGCACACTGTTGTGCAACCATCACCTCTATCCATCTCTAGAACGTTTTGTCACCCCAAACTGAAACTTTTTAATAACTCTACTTCTTAATTCTTGCTTGTTAGTCACTTTTGCCATCATAGGGCATCTTAAACATATGAAATACAATATTAAATATTAACAAGAGGTATTGTTTTCAATATAGATTTAGAATTTCAGGAAGAATTCATATGGAGTCAATTTCTTAACATTAGAGATAAAAGAAAGTATAGCCCACAGAAGCAAAATGACTTGTCAAAATCTCACAAGTGGTAGGAACAGATTAGCTCTAGAACCACTATAATCCTGTCTTTTTAGGGTTATGTAGCCATAGTACCTGATCTTTAAGTCATGGCCATGACTCAAGTACAGGTGACCCTTGAACAAATCAGTAGTCAGGGGCACCAACCCTGCTTTTCCCCATGTAGTCGAAAATCCTTGTATAACTTGACTCCCCAAAAATTTAACTACATTCGGCCCTCAGTATCCGAGGAGGTTTGATGCCAGGAAACTCCATGTATACCAAAATCTGTGGACACTCAAGAGCCCTATATAAATTGGTGTAGAACAATGCAGACAGCCCACCCTTCACATCCCTGGATTGCCAACTGTGGATCAAAATTACTGATCCGTTTCACATCCGTGGATGTGAAACCCACGGATTCAGAGGGCCAACTATATTTATTGAAAACAATCCATGTATTTATTAGTGGGCCTGTGCAGTTCAAACTCATTTTGTTCGAGGGTCAATTGTATAGGTCATGAAACTGAGGTACGGCAATTTGAATCTTTAATACTGAAGGAACATGATAAACCACTAAATATAAAATAATTGCTTATAATTAAAATTAATTTTTAGTTATAAAATCAACCAAAGTAACTATATTCAAAAATATGTAGATCTAATGGTTATTTAAGCTTTCACAAAGATTAACAAACTGAGACTTAATAAAATCAATGAAATGAAAACAAATATACAAAAAACTTACAACTTAGTGAATAACAAACAAAATATTAATTACATGGGAAAATGTAAAATTGTTCATGTTAGTCGTCCTCCTTCAAAGTAAATATATCACTTTTATATTATGGTAAAATGTCTAAGACATAAGTAAGCCACAAAAAAAAAATCTCTGTTGAGAAACTGCAGAACTGTACATAAGATGAAAAAAGGTTTTAAAAAGAGGGTTATAGATCATATAAAAATAGTTATTCTTAACAATTAAATCTTAATTTAAGCTACTGCCAAAAACTCAAAATCAAATCAAAGTTCCTCTTAATTATATATTGAAGGTATGGATTCAAAGTAATTCTTTGCTTTTGTAAAGAACTAAACACAATGTCCAAATCTGCCTTATTACTCAGTTATATAAATAAAAAACTCAGATTAGAAAATGTTCTAGAGAAGTACTCATATATATATAAATTCTCACCTATTTCACTACCTTAATATTGCTTTCAATACATTAAATTGCTTAGAAATTAAACTACTTAGACAAAAACAGTTACCAATGATTAGTCAAGGCTAGTTTAGCATTCGTTATCTGTATTGTTCTAAATAACACCAGAGACAGTTTTATATTACAGATAAGGAAGCAAAACCTTAGAAAAGTTGTCCTTTGTACAAGACCAAGCAGCTACTTTATTTCTTTAAAACAGGCTTACCCAAAGGAGAATAAACAATGAGCAGTACTAATAGAAATATTATGTACAGATTTGAAGTTTGTGATATTCTTCTACTTAATCATGACATAATAAATAATGAATACATTTGAGTAAATCTAGACTCCACAAATATCACTGAATGTAGAGTCTCCAACAAAATGCAGCATAACTCAATACAAGGTTTGTGCCAAAATTTAGAACTTGGCTCTTGATCCAGCTTTCCTATTATCTAGCACGAGTGTTCATTCACTTAGGTGTCGTCCCTCTACTGCTTCACCTACTATGGAGGGGAAAATACTCCTCCAACCTATCACAAGTTTGTTGTGAAGTAATAAAACATGCAACAGAGCTTTGAAAAAAAACTCTTTTAAAATATAAAGTACTGAGGACCTTTAGAACAAATACACCAGAACCTGAACTTCTCTATGGGGTTTATTTACATATCTCTAAAAGCAAACACTGGATTAGATGATCTCTGAGCTCTTTTTAAGCTCTCATATAAACTCAGTCTAGCTGAGTTTAAAATCTAACTAGGTAAGGCCAAAAAAAGTCCTATGACAATGAATCCATTCAAAAACACACACAAAAAAAATCCTCTATATTTTAATTGGTTCATTAACTAAGCAGGAGCAATGAGTAGAACCATAAATAGAGGCCCAAAAAAGGCTTGACTGATTACAGCTTCTTCTCTTTTCAAATAAAACAAAAGTCAAATGTTACCCTCAAAGAGAAAAATGTGGAATTTAGCACAAAAGTGCATAAAAACGGGAGCTTCAAAACAGGAAATATGCATCTGGCTATTGTGAGAAACCAAGGTAAGGTAGACTAAGGGTATGGGATTTCCTCTTTCCAAAGCCACAGTGCAATTTAGGGAGAAATCAAGCCCAGATACTGGCTTAGAAAAATGGGTTAAGACCCTGACTTTCAACAAGGGAGAAAACAAATTGTAACAATGGGCTGGTGAATATAACTCAGCTAGAAAGAAGAGTGAGGGGGAAAAAAAGGTAAGATGTCCAGGGAAAGCTACCTTCAGAAGGTTCCAAAGAATACTCAAATCCTTATAAAAGGAGCCAGTCGTATTTAGGTTGGATTTTATATCCAGGTTAAAAAATCTATTAGCTCTATTTACTCGTTTACCTCTATGTTTTCAATGGTTTCAGTTTTCTTTCAATTTCCTAAAAGCTCACACTTAAAAATTCTAACCTAGTCTCTGCTAAGTAAGTCCCAGGCAGAAACTCTTAACCCAACTCCAAGGCTGGGCATGAAGGGATCCACAAACCCTCTGAAACTGTATGTAACGCTTTATATTTGTGCTTTATTCTTAGGGGCAGCTGTGGAGACTAATATCTTTTAGCCTAAGTCTTCCTTTTATACTGCATTTCAATATTCTTACATTTAACAATGGGCTAATTCTCAAAAGAGAGAGGAAATTCCAGGGTGAACCAGTCTCACTAACTGGGATTTATTTACTAAATAATTGTAAGTTTAAAAATTATCTACAAGGCAATCTCGCCTATCAGGTAATTCCAAAGCATGAAGCTCTAGCTAAAGATGGTGTTCTAGTGAAATTCATGCATTTCAGCAGAAAATATCTAACAAATGAAGGTGACACCAAGCATAATAGTCTAATGTTAAATGTAAAACTTAACCTTTTCCATGTAATTGTTTTCACAAGATTTTTCTTAAAAATTATTAATGTGCTTGTGGGAGAAAACTAGTTTGACTCATTAATTAGCTTAAACTATGATGCCACTTACTTTGATTATAAGAATCACCATCTTTTCCAACTGCAGTTCTAGCTTGTTTAATTATCTGGAATTGTGAGTCCTTATCTGTCAAAAAATCCATAAACACAATATGAATCATCAGTGTCCACAAAATTACCAATTGGTTTCCAACCCAATTTAGACACATAAAGAAACCTTTGAGAATCTTAAGAGAGAAAATACTCAAATCACTGCATGCAGAATTCTTTCAGATCTGTCTAGATCCCAGTAAGTAACCAGAGTTCAGGTGGTTCAGAAAACATTATAATCAGGCACAAAGCAGTAGCAGCTACAAATTTTCAAAACCAATAATACCTAACATTTCTTGAATCCCAGGTAGGTGTTATTCTAAGACTATTACATATATCATATTTAATACTCACAAAAGTGCTATTACATCACCCCCTCTCTAAATTTTATAAAGAAATTTAGGCAACAAACAGGTTAATAACCTTGCTGAAAGCCTCACATCTGTTAGTGACAAAACCAGGAGTTGAATCAGGCCCTTTTGATTTTAGAGCTCAAGATTTCAACCTATTGGAACACATTTCCATCTTCAGTCCTATCTTCAAACTGTTGTATGGCCAGATTTTTGTTATAACGGAGAAGAAATGTGTCTGTCCCACTGCACAAAGCTTTGCCAGGTTTTCACTAACTATTAATATAAGCCTGGTCTCTAAATTTCAGATTACAAAAACTAGTTTCACCACACATTGATTAATCCTACATTCTCTTGAGGTACAAAGTGTACTTAATCATAAAGTCTAATCTTTTGATAATTCAAAATGAATTATCAATACAGATAAATAGTAAGGTATTTTAAAATTATAATCTATTAATACTTACTCAAAGTGATTGACGGTATCTTTACATTCTCATAGAAAAATTCAGAATTATACATTTCATCCTAAACAGTAAAAAGTAAAACAAAACTTAGTGTTCTCAAGGATCAGATGATTAACTTATTTTAAGATTTGACATAAATCAGCAGTAAATTAGTATCAATTAAATATCTCTTGCAATAATTTGCAAAATTAGGCTAGTACCATTCTACCCCACAAATGACTATTATTTTTAACATATAGTGTGAGAAATATAGTGTGAGAAAACTTCACACTATAGCTTCTATATATTGTGAATTTATGAATGCATGGATTACATGACATATACATAATAAATGTACAGTACCTCTTCTTCTCTCGTGTAGCCCAGTTTCCTCAACCTACACGATACCATGTGTTTTGCTAAAGAAGATTTAGGCATGTGATGATTGGTATCATAAGGGCATATCACAACTTCATCCTATAAAAACCAAATAGAATCAAAGAAAAAAGATACATGATATTTAAAGATTTAAATAATTATACTATTAAATGTTTACTACTTAATTAAGTGGTACTATCCAGTTATGTCCTCTTCTGCAAACTTCTCCCAATACCCGGTTTGAGCATATGTGCATATTAAAAATTTTTTAAACCTTCCCCTTATAGACCCTGCCCTCTCTCTCTACCCCGTCAAAGCCCAACTTTGAAAGATTTGTTCACATTCACTGCCTCAACAACCTCATCTACCAGTCAGCAGGTCACTAACAACCTTCTTACTATTATACTCAAAGCACATGTCATAGTCCTTACATGTGAATGCTCACAAGATCACAATCCAATTGTCTATTTCTGTCATCCTGATACTCTCTGGTTCCTTCTACCTGGTCACCTTTAAAAAAGTTTTCCTTGTTCTACCTATTCCTCTTTACTATTTTTTTCCAGAGGGACCATATACACCTGGGTGACACATATATTTTCTTTTTTTTTTAATTTATGGCAACCATCAGCTTATTCTCTGAGTCTGTTTCTGTTTTGTTTTATTAATTTGTTTTGATTTTTTTTTAAGATTCCACATAAGTGAAATCGTATGGTATTTGTCTCTCTCTGACTCAGTTCACTTAGCATAATTTCCTCAAGGTCCATCCATGTTGTCGCAAATGACAGGATTTCCTTCTCTTTTATTGCTGAATAATATTCCATTGTGTATATATACCACTTTCTGACCCCCTTTAAATGTTGGTGTTTCATGTAGACCTAACCAGTAGCCTTCTGCCACTTGATATATACTTAATGGAAGAACTTACAGCTTCAATTTTCACTATACAGTGATAACTGCCAAAAATCTATTGGGTTGGCCAAAAAGTTTGTTACATTTTTTCTGCACAATGGCTCTAATAGTGCTTAGTTGTCTTTAACTTCATTTGAAACAATTTTGTTAGATTGATTGTGACAGCTGTCATGTCAGGGTGCAATTTTTTAAAAAGCTTATCAAATTGGTGAATTTTTGTGTAGCCATTTTAATATTGAAGATGGAAGAAAATATACATTTTCAGTATTGTGCTTTATTATTTCAAGAAAGGTAAAAACGCAACTGAAATGCAAAAAAAGAAAAAAAAAGATTTGTGCAGTGTGTGGAGAAGGTGCTATGACTGATAGAACGTGTCAAAAGTGATTTGCCAAGTTTCCTCGCTTCTTGCTGAACAATGCTCGACGGTCAGGTAGACCAGCTTAAGTTGACAGTGATAAAATCGAGACATTAACTGAGAATGATCAACGTTATACCATGCAGGAGATAGCTGACATACTCAAAATACCCAAATCAATAAAGTTATTGAAAATGTGTCTTTTATTTTACAGAAACTAAACAGACTTTCTGGCCAACCCAATATGAATCAAATATACTTAACAATGCCTCTTGGCAATCAGTTATGTAATTTAAATCTGAAAGAAATTATTCCAGCATGGTAAACTCAGAACTTAGAGATCATGAATTACCCCACATTGGAACACTTTCCTTCCTCCCACACCTTAAAAAAAATCAGAATTTGTCACTCTAATACACTTCCCTACATTTTTTCAAAACAATTAATAATGTTCAGAAGACTTCCTAGTCACCATCATTAGTAATATTCTTTAATAATTCTAGAATCATTGGTGTCCCAGTCAGAAGCGCACAATTTTAATGCAGAGAAAGGCGAACTGAACTCCCAAGCTCTCCCGACGAGGAATCTGGTGCAACTGCGGAATCCACGTGACAGATGACAAAGCAAACCGCCAACACCTCTGCTACAAGCATTTTGAGGCCCATTCAGGTATTTTCTACATAAATACCAGACCTGCTATTCCCTCCTTACCCAGAGCATTTTCACATTTTCTTTAAACCCGAAGTTCCCCGGTAGGTACGCCGCACAGGAGGTGGGTGAGGAACGCTCCGGGGGCCCTCATGCGCCCAGCCCCTGGCCGGGGAGTCAGAGGCGTTCCCAGCCCGTCCCGGGAGCCCAACGCGGCTCTGCACACGGGCGGTGGCTCCCACGCCCTTCCCTTCGCGGCCCCAGCGTGGATTCCTCCACCACTAGAGAAGACCGCAGGCCCAGGGCTCCCAAAGGGACACCGCACTGCTTACCTCTGCCGCGACCTCCTTCCCGGGATCCATCCGATCCAGACTCCAGCCCAGGGACGCGGTCACCTCCTCCAGCCTCCGACAGCAGCTTTCCACGAACTCGGACAGCTCCTCCTGCAGCCGCCGCCGTTCCTCCACCGGTGGAGGATCACCCTCCATGGCCGCACCCCACCCGCCAGGAAGAAGCTGCCGAACTGTCGGCAGCCCGCGCGGGCTTCTGGGAGCTATGGGCGGGGTCACTCCTCCACAGGACTGGAGACGCCTACAGGGACCCGCCCTGAGCTGTCATTTTGAGAGGTGTTTTCCTATCTCTTTCAAATATCGCTGCTTTAGTCCCACTGCTCCTGGATTCATTTGCTCCTGGCCTTCCCTGACCCGCATTACCACCCCCCACATACTATTTAAAAGAGCAGTTTATAAGTTAAAAGAAGAGTACAATGAGCATTCACTTGGCTGTCCGACTGCTCATTAACGTTAACATCTGGCCACGTTTGTTTGCTTTCTCCCTCTCTATCCACCTATACAGCCCCACACACGATTTTTGCTGAATTAATTTAAAGTATTGAATAGGTTGCAGATACTTCACCCCAAATGTCCGTATGAATCTTTTAAGAATGAGGACATTTACCTACGTGACCACAATAATCGATCAAACCTAAGAAAATTAATCATTTTAAAATACCATCTTACAGTTAATATTCAAATTCCCCCAGTTGTCCCAAAAAATCCCTATTTTTTCAACTCATGAGCTATAATTGGTTATTGTCTATTTTTATCTACAAAAGTCTCCCCTACTCTCCTTTTTAAATTAAGTCATTGAATTTTGTCAGGAGCCTCAGCAACTAGTCTTGTAGAATGTCTCTCTTTCTGTGTTTGTCAGATTTTTTTTCCTTTATGGTTAGATTCAGTTGAAGTGGTTTTGCAAGGAGATACGTGTGCCTCTTTATTACATCGCATAGAGGACATCTCCATTAGTAATATGAAATTTGATCACTTGGTAAAGGTGGTGGCTGTATCACTCCATTTTAATAGCACATTGCCTCTTGGTAATTGGTAATCTGCAGGGTATCTTGAGGTCATACGAATGTCCTGTTCCCCAAGAAACTCACATAATTCTTCACTGAATGTCATTATGTTAGAAATTATAAATGATGATTCTTTAATACTATCATAGCTAGCATTCTTACTATAATTCTATTTTATTGTTTTCAATATGGAATTAAGGTTTCTAAGAATTGCTGATTTAACAATAAATTTTTAAATTCATTATTACTATTCTATTACCATCATAATCCTTATTGATGCACAAATTATCTCAAATTTGACCTGTGGGAGCCACTTTAAACCAACTCATGACTCTTTGACATGTTCCATTAGTCCTTGAGTACTTACTTCCTCACACTGATAAACCCCAGTTGGTTTCCCCAGATGGTTTTAACTCCCAGAATCTAATCCCTTTTATATTATTTTAATTTTATTCAAAATTGATGCCAAATCTTTACTTCCCTTTGCACTTGTATCTACCAGATGAAGAAACAAACGTGAAAGAAATTTTTGTGAACAGCTGTTTTCAAAGGAAGTACCAGAAAATACAGAAACAAGCCAGTAACTACAAGCAGATGTGGGGTAAGGGATGAGTTCTAGAAGCAGATTATTCATTCTGCCCACAGTATCTTTAGTCACATTTACTGTTTAGCCCAGCAGCCTGGAAAATGTGACTATTTGAATGTGAGATGATTTTCACCTAAAAATTACATATTTTCCTTTTCGGTGGATGTACTGTGCACATGAACCAAATTAAAACTAGTGCAGGTGAAGAATGTCCTCTCTCCCAGGACACAGCCCTATCTCATCTCAAAGCTTAATGACAACTTTGGTAACAGCTTGGAGTGGGTGCAGTTTCAGCCTTAGGAACTGCTTTACACTGCTGTTTGTTCATGTTTAATCATCACTTTCCTAGAGCATCCTCCTGCCTCATTGAGTTAGGCCTCCTAATGGGCTGAACTGCATCATCCCCCACACCCCACACCCCGAAATGCGTATCTAATCCTTAAACCCCATTGTGACAGTATTTGGAGATAGGGCCTTTAAATGAGGTAATTAAGGTTAAGTGAGGTTATAAGAGTGGGGCCCTAATGTGATAGGACTAGTAGTATCCTCATAAAATGAGGAAGAGACATCAGAGCTCCTTCCATATCCATCACTGCCCACAAGCCTGGAAGAGTTGTCACCATAAACCAACCCTGGACTACAACTTGATCTTGGAATTCTGACCTCCAGAACTATGAGAACATAAATTTGTTTAAGCCACCCTGTCTGAGGTATTTCATTATGGCAGGCCAAGCTAACAGTCTCCCAGCTCTAGTATAAGGAATCTCTATTTGCCCCAACACAGCACTTACATTTTTCTTCCTTTCATATTACAAGGGCTATTTTTGTGCCATGTGTTCCTACCATGGGATCTATTTTCTAGCACAGTGTGTGGCACAAAGAACAACTCAATATTTAGTGAATGAAACTAACGGCAAGTCTCCCAGATTGGAAGGTTGGGGGGAAGGGCAAGAAAAGAGGCAAGACACTAGTGTTTTCACCGTAAGTACCAAAAGTCCCAATAATTTGTTATCTTAAGTATGATCTTTTTTGTTCTACACATTAGCATTTCATTTACTTCCCTTTTCTTCTATCTGTACTATAAAATTCATTTGACTATTGAAATATATTACTGACATATATGCAAGGTGTCCCACTGAGTGATGTGCATGTATCTTCTGTCCCCATCCACACTGTACAGGCCTGAAGTCAGGGGCCTTCTAAATTCCACTGCATCCTCGTAGTACCTAGCCCAATAGTAGACACAAACTAGGTACTCAGTAAAGTCATGTTAATTTAATGACAAATTCAAGTTTCTCTTTTGATCAAAAGAATAGGTTTCTATCTTACAGACTCAAGGACAATCCTTTTAGGGGACAAAATGAAATACCATGCATTTTGAGTATACCCAAAATAGAATTTTGGCCACCTCATGCTTTTTAAATGTTATGATGATAACTTCTGCCCATGCTACTTGATACTCATAGTCCAAAATAAAGTAGAAGTGGGTACTGACCTCTGGCCTGGCCTTCACACAGGTTTATTTCCAAGGACTCTACATGATACACAACAGGCACTGGATAAGTGTTGAAAAAACTATCTTCAAAGACCAAATTCTAACAAGAATTCAAAACCAAAATGGTTTATAAATGGTCTTTCTTAATTCATATTTTGCAAAAAGCTGCTGCTAAATGCCCTTGTGTGTATAAACATGTTATTAAGTCAAAACACAAAAAATTCAAAAGTCCAAAAGTTTATTGCCAGAATAGCAAACTTCATAGACAGCTTTTTAAAGTACAATGAAAATGACAAGCAAAATAAACAGGAAACTTTGACCAAAGAAAAGCAAAGATTGCTGCTATCATGAACAGTCAAATTAATACCAAACCAACCAGATACATAATAGTGTATGGGGTCATACAATCCACATTCTAAAACTGAAGGAGACTCATTCCAAAATGCTTAAGTTTGGGTGGGTTTCTTTTGGCTGGGGGTGGGGGATGGGGGTGGGAAGCTCCTAATATAGAAAGTGGAAATATGTAGAGGAGAAACAAAATGACTAAAATATTAATGATCCATTTAATGTTCATCTCTAAGAACAGAAATCTGTATTATGTCAAAAGAAGTTTAAGAAGAATCAATTGAAAATCTAAACACAGAAGAGAAGAAACAAATTCTAAGTTCAATTTGTGCTATCCTTACAACTGATTACCACTTCAGACACTACTACATCCAGTGTATTACATTAGTTGAGGTGGGCTAAGAAGATAAAAAGCCTGAATAGCCTTTACTATTTGATTTCAACTTAGGCTATGTTTCCTTAAGCACAGAAAATCCTATCACTATACTGCAAGCACCAATTTTCTCTCTTATTTAATAAAATGAAAATTTATATGAATGAAGTCAAGGTATAGCAACCATTTCCAACTGAATACTAGTGCCCAATAGAGCTACTGCTAAAGGAGTAGGAGTAAGAGTAGGAAGAATTCCCAGTTGCATCAAAGCTTCCTCTCCGGGACCCACTGCGGGAGCCAGAGCGAGAGCCGGAGCGGGAGCCGGAGCGCGAACCAGAGCGCGAGCCTGGTGCAGAAGACACGTTATAAGGGCTGGGCAAGCCCTTGGATGAGACAGAGGCAGCCTCCAGAAGGCGTAGGCCAGTGACATCTTCCACCATAGAGCGATTCATAGCATCCTTATAGGATATTTTTAATTTGGTTTTGGGGCAGGTCAGGATTTTGGCATAGCTGCTGGTATCCTGCAGCCTCTGGGCTGCTCGGCCGTCGATGAAGCCCTTTCTGATGGCTTCTTCCGTGCTTATCCTCCCGTGCACTTCCGGGTCAACTAGCCCTCCAGTGAGGTACTGGAACTCCATGAAGCGCTGACCAGCCTCGTAAGGAAGCCATTTTTCTTTCACTGCCTCTGCTGCTGACATCTTCTTTCCCTTCACACCTTCAAAGCCAATGAAGGCTTTCTGGGCAGGCTTTAGCCTGGTGGCCATTTCTTGGTCAATCAGACCCTGGGAGAGGGCATCCTGCAGCGACAGCTTCTGACCGGTGGTTGGGTGGATGATGCCACCCGTACAGGCCTGAGCCTCTAGAAGCCTCTGGCCAGTGATGCTATCCACAATGCCCCGCTCGATACCTTCTGCAACGGAGATCTTCTCCAGGTTTTCTGTGTCAAAGATGGCTGCAATAGGGCTCGATTCTTCCAGAGGGTCAGAAAGAGAGCTGCTCTTGATGGTTAAATTCCTGACACTAGATATAGTAGAAATCTTAGTTACTGACTCATGTCGGGAGTTGCTAAAAACATCATCACTGATACTGCCACCCATGCCAATGCTGTTGCCCACACCATTTTTCAAGGAGATCATATCAGCAAACTGAGTGAGGCTGAGGCTGCCAGATCGGTACTGATCAAAGAACTTCCTGTCAACGAGGCCCTTGTCAATAGCATCTTGAATATCGTACTGACTGCCTGTCTTTCTATCTACCAGGACCACCCTGGTGGAGCCGTCAGATCCAGTGATGGTTATTTCTTCCCACTCACACTCCTGCTCACACAGTTCTTTGAAGGTTTCATAATCAATAAGGCCCTTC